GGGCAAACTGGCCCTCAAAGAAATCAGGAACATCTTCAATCAAATTATCAAAGAAGGTTCCACACCCAAATAATGGAGCAAAGGAGCTATATATCCTATTCCTAAGCCTAAAAATTGGCAGAACAACCTTGACATAACAAGACCAATCACATTACTGGATGCAGGAAGAAAAATCTTTACCAAGATTTTAACGGATAGAATCGCCTCATGTCTAACAAAGAACAAGATCCTATCAGAACTAAATTGGGCTGCACTGCCAGGATGCAGCACACAGGAACCTATCCATATAATAAACAATATCATCGAGCATACTAAAGAAACAAAAAAACAAGCATGGATTCTCAATCAAGATATGTCAAAAGCATATGACTCAGTGAACCTAGAGATGATAACCAAGACCTTAGTACAAATAAAAATTCCCACACAGATAATCAATATCCTACGCAATATTTTCAACCAAAGACATAATATAGTTCTCACATGTCATGGGTCAACAGAGGAATACGAGGTCAACAATGGTATAGACCAAGGAGATATAATCTCCCCACTTTTATGAAGGATCTTTTATGACCCATTAATTACAACAATCGAAAAAAACTTTACTGACTACATAATAACAACCAAAGTCTACAAGACTTTAAACTAGAATGGGAAAATAAGAAAATAAATATCGTAATCAATGCTTATATGATGACAATACATAGATTACAGATAATAGAGAAGAGTTACAACAAATCATCAAAAAAGCAGAAGAGTTCTACAAAATAAATGACATAAAAATCAATCCATAGAAGTCTCAGCTGCTAATCATCAATGGAAAAGATGATGACTTCACACAAGGCATAGAAATGGATGAACAAACCATTAAAGGTTGCCTGTAAGGAATACCAGTAAGAATCCTGGGAGTTTGATATGACAGTTCAGGGAAAAAAGACTATCAAAAAACTCTAATTCAACAAAAGTTCAGGAAGACCAAGGAACTCATAGGAATGAAACAACTAACTGACAAACAGATACAGTATGTAATTAATCATATCCTGATTCCCAGTACAGAGTATCTATATAATGATATGATACTTCCAAAAAAAACATGTAACCTCCTCATGAGCGGTATTACAGCAATTTTCAAATACAAGCTAGGCCTCACCAGGACAACTCCAAACAACATCCTCTTCAACAAATTCAAATACAATCTAATAAACCTCTGAGATAGACAACTCCTTCTACATATTACGAATTGGACAAACCGAATCAACAAAAACAATATAGCCAGTGAAATAGCAAGAAATAGACTCCAAACCTTACAGAATAAATTTTGGTTCATCAAACTCGTGCTAAACAAAACAGAACAACTATGGAAACGCATGGGAAAAAATTTAACACATGACACTATCTGGGTTATGAGAAGACATGGTTTTATATTTGAGTTTACCAATGAAAACAATAGTATTACGCTTATTCAGGAAATAGACACTCCCATAAAAGAGATCATGAGTAAACACCTCTATTCAAATCACCAACATCATCTCCACAAATATAATATACTCTTCATTGGACAACTGTTAAATGCAGATAGTACAAAAATATTAAAATGGTGCCAAATCATAAGAATTGAAAGAAAAACACTCCCAGGTCCAACTCCAAGATGGTTCCTTACATTGAGCAGCAAAATCAAAGGAATGCTAGAAGTGAATAAAATCTCAACACAACTAACAACAACCAATACCTTCAAACAAGGAATTCACATAACATTCCAAAATACAACCAAACCTCACTAGATTTACACACAGAAAGAGAGAGAACCTACAATTGAAAAGAAACAAAAAAGAATAGACCAAGACATAATGAGGTATAAACACTATACCCAAGCTCTAGGGAATTCCCTGCTGGAAGCATGCCAGGGTTGCAGGCTTAACGTCCTAGATACTAATAGAGGGAATGCAGCTTCACTGAAACTTGACAACACTCAATTACCATACCTGTCCAGAAAAGTTCAACTTCTATAAGAGAAAACAACACAAACATGAAGGAGTGCAAGTGGAGAAACAGAACATTTCCAAACTTACTCACCATAACCTTCACTGAATACACACAGACATTGGAATCACTCATATAAAACAAGAACATAATAGTTAGCATACCAGCTGAAACACAAACAAGAAACTAAAAGAAAGACAAAATTCTCAATTGCTCACAAAAAAATACAGAAAGGATAGAGAAAATCAGAGAAAAAATTAAGAACTTCGCTATCTTTGACATCTACACAGATGAATCTCTCACAAACTCAAAGGAGAAATACTATATGGGCCTGGGCTAGATTATCATCACTTCAGACTTATAGGAACACACCTTCCAAGGACAGATCAAACGACACCCCTCATCTACCAGAGCAGAGATAGTAGCCATTGCAACAGCTCTAAGTACATTACCAGATCACAGCACAGCAAACATCTATATAGACAGTCAAGTAGCAATAAATGAAATAGAAAAGACCTGGAAGGAAGAAAAAAGTAAGATCATGAAAAAACAAAAAAATTCAAACCTTCTACTCCAGATCAAAATCTTATGCCAGCAAAGAAAAATCAAACTAGTGCTACACAAGGTTAAAGGCCACTTTGGAATTAAACATAATGAAACAGAAGATCAACTGATACAGATAGATGCATGGAAAGGTATGAAATCAGGAGAAAATGAAATTGAAATAACTAGAATCAATGATCCAAAGATAGGCATAGCACTACAATGGAACAACCACTTTACCAAATTTCTCACGAAAATAATCACACAGAAGCTCACAAACACTATCCACCTGGCAAAATGGTGCCTTTTGAATAGGATCAGATGCAACTTTAGTGAACGAATAATCAAAGAAATCAACTGGTAAACAACAACAGCACACTTACAACCCATGAAGATAAGTAACCACCATACATATAGGGAAGACCAGAAACAAAGGAAGTTCTGTCTTAGCTTTTGGAATGATGAACTACTAACCAAGAGCAAGCTACATGCAAGACTCCCATTAGTCTACAAAAATAACAAATGCAACAAATGTGGAGAACCAGAAACCAGTACACACCCCTTTCTTTGCCAACAACTTAGAGCAGAAACAAAAAAGACCTTAAAGAATATAACCATAACTTGCATAGAAAACCACATAGAGAAGAAAGAATTTTAACATTTCACCACCCACTTCTTTAACAAGAACAATCTGGAATACAAGGAATACTTGATAGTAAACATTAGGTGGGCTTTCTTCAAAGAACTCATATATAGTCTCAAGACAGCCATTCCAGATAGAATTGAAAGGAAAAACTGCATAACAGAAATCCAGCTGAAAACAATTAAATACCTATACCAAACATGGCAAAGATAATGTGAAATCTCCAGGAGTGGAAAGCTAGGGAGGGAATTACTAGACAAAAAGAAAAAGCAGCAAAATATGAGACAAGAAAAGAAGATCCCACTTTCACAGCAAGGGAAAAACACATAAAAGACCAATTCATACACCTGGTCAATGAGTTCATGAATCAATGAATTACAAATCTTATAGACAACTTTTACATATTTGAAATTTCTTTCAGCACTAGCCCAGTCTTGACAACAAGTTGCAAGGTGAGTACCTCAATACAGAGGAATTTTATTGAGTTTTATTTGGTAGTAAACAGGTAGTATATCTTAGAATAGTTTCTATGTATTGATACTATATAATTACAAATAAAGCAAGGCTGAACCAGCGTTTAAAAAAAAATTATCTTAATAATATTACAATATACCTTTACAAATCTAAACTACTTATATTAAATACAATATAATCAAAAATTTCATAATTATCAATAAAAAATCTTTGTATTTAGTCAAAAAAAAGACAAGCTATTAGAATTTTCAGAATCTGGTATAAAGATACGTCAGGTAAATATATCAAAGACAACTTATCAAATCCAAAGTTAATACTGTACCATCTATGGAATCATATATAATTAACAAAATATATAGATACTAATATTATTTCTGATAATCGAATTTCTACAAAAAATAGAAAAAATAGACAGGAAAATAAAAAAGTATTTCAAATGCAGGGTTGGCTTGCAAGGTCAATGCCCAATAGTATATTTCACTTGTCCACTCAATAAAATATTATGGAACTTGAAACCAGACAAATGCAAAAATATATAGATAACCTATAGGACCTATACTCAAGCAAAAACATGACCAGTTTGGTTACACGAAACAAAGTTCAATACCTCCAATAGCTTGCATGACAAAAACTAGGTATATTTATATCACAACCGAGGATCAAGAGACAAAAAAAAAAAAAAAAACTTTCTGCAAAACCTCAGAAATTTATAAATGTACATCTCAATTAGCTACAGAAATTAGAGATTGATAAATGAACCAACATTATACAAAATATAAATAAGGTCTAATGGTATTTGACTATATTTAAGATCTTTCAAAAGAACAATTGGATCAGCTTATTGAAAAGAGAATTGAATAAAATAAAAATCTAAACTCTTTGTAATAAGTTTCAATTATACAGTAACAATTGACAAAAACTTCGAATAGTTATGAAAAATAGAGACTATCAAATAATCTGAAAAATATTGATGCAAGAAAGAGCAGAGAAAAAGGTAAAGGTTAAACACTTTACCTATTAGAACAGTTAAGAGACAAATCTGACAAAATCAAAAAAAAACTCTTCGCTGATCATCTGACCACACAAAAAAGATGTTGCGTTTCAACAATATATGATATATTTCTTATAAATTCTTGTCTCCCTTTATTCCATCGAAATTAAAAAAGAAATCCTATTATAATTGATAATTTAATTGCAACTCTAGGAACTTAGCTATTTATAAACCTATTGAATTTTATCCTTTGCTACACTAATTCTTCGGTCACAAAACTATCTGTATCTAAAATACTTTGGTCATAAGAATTCTTGCTGCACTTCTCATTTTTGTCATTGTCAAGTATTAAATCACCGTTTCCAAAACGTATCATAACGTCGCTTTTGTCATATATACCGTAAGAACCGTCAGATCGACCGATTCTAATGTTTCTATAATTATTTCGACTACCAAAGGAAAATACGAAATGATCTGCACTGTTATTCCAGTAAGAACGACGAGAGTTGCAAAAGCAATTACATTGAATAAAACCACTTCCCGAGGATGTACAATTACAAGAAGACCCAAAACCACGCATCATAAAAGAGTTACAATTGCATCTTGATTCATAAGGACCACATGCACACATACTAGATCCATAAAACTGTTTAAAGCTACTAGGATTATGATTCCACCCGTTTGCATTAAATCCACCAATTATTTTCCCAGAACCCTTTACTTTGATAACTGCAATCGCTTTCCCTTGTTTATTGACTTTCTGGTGAAAAGAGATAGCGTTAAATCCGTCACGAGTTCCACGGTAAAGAAGAGTAAAGTGATATCGTTTTTCATTATTCATTGTTTCGAAAACATCTCTTTTTTCAATCAAGTTAGAAATAATATCCGCGTGTCTTCTTGTTATTATTTTAGAATCATCAATAACATTTCCATTGCGTGCGGGAAGTTTTTCTTGTTTCGGCTCTGTCTCAGCCACTAGGAAGGACATGACATCCTCAAAGAGCGATTCTGGCATAGCTTTTCGAAACGGGCGAACCTTATTAAAGAAGTCATTTGAAGAGATCTCATAAAATCTAATATATGGAATAAAAGGGCCCATTGTATTTTTTAAATCCTTAAAATTTTTTTCCGAAAATTTTTTCACGTCTGAAGATTTCATCCCCTTAATCCCGGGAGTTTGATGTATTCCCCATTTAATAAGATGCTCCCAGACGCTTACTTCTTCAATTTTTAATTCGTCGTATTTTATTAACTCTAGAAAGATGTCCTTGTTGAGAGACGGAAAAATCTTAGAGTTAAAGAAAGGTCCTGGGTTATCGCAAATGAATTCTAAACAGTGATCTTTGAGTTCTTTGCAACAGACGAGTTGAAAAATAGTGTTTAAGACTGTAAATAAATTTTGTTCGAGCCAAGTCATATGCTCAATAAAGTAGTTTTGAACATGTTTAATTAATTCTTCTAGGAGGAACTCATCCGATGCAACCAGAAGATCAAGGATATCGAAGCCAGAGACTCCAGTTAACTCGAAAAATCCAGAATAGATATACCTAGTCGTAATTTTTACATTAATATAAAGTATTTGATATGGCATTAATGAGACAAATTTCGTAGTCTTGTCTTACTTAATAATTATTGAAAAAACGATAGGAGAAATGTTCGGCCTGATAAACAAAATAATCTCGTCCTTAGTAGCAATCTTTTTATCGGAAAGAATCCTTTTAAAATAAGGCGAACGTGCTCCTAAAATTGTAGAATGCACATGAAATTCCCGAATATTAGTATCCTTCCCAACTCTGATAGTAACATTATAATCATCTGCGTCTTCAAGAAGTTCAGTGAAATCTTGTGATAAATTAGCGTAGAAGTCTGTCCGCATTTTGATATTTGCAATTTCCTAATGCCAATAAAATTTAATTTAAATCCTAAAAAGCAGCACGAGGAAATTTACGATACTTATAAAAAAACAGCAAAATAATACGTAATATGCGTAATACAGCATATTTCAGTAAACTACAGTATGTGGCAAGTCGAACTTTTTTAAATTAATTTTTAATATACAGTATTCAAGTACGGTACAGTATATGGTATATCCTCAATATAGCGGTGGTGTATTTTTTAGAACAAAAATTTTAATTTTCGATTTTCCCTTATTATTATGATAATTCTAACGGATTGTATCAAACTACTTGGCATATCTCTATAATCCATCTCCTGCATCCTAGTTCTGTTTACTCTTCAATATTTTGCGAATCCATTCGTGTGTAGCTATCATGTAATATATGCAGTAATGTTATTTCACGGATATTATTTCTCCGCGCGTTTCTCGTTTCTTACTATACCGAATGAAATTTCCCAGCTACGTATAACGAAGTTTGATTGTATACAAACATTTAATTTGCTGTTTTTACTATAACGGTAACATTCCTGATCTAACATAGGATATTAACTAGCAACACTAATTAATTACTTAGTACGTCAGATCAAATTAAATTTGATTAAATTTAATAATTAAAAATATTATTTCATATATTATATACACAGTGAATCTCAATATAATACAACCATAGGTTCGTGCGAAAATATTTCGTTATATCAAAGAGTCTATAAAAGAATTCATGAGGTCAAGGGTCTATAATAGAATTTGCAATTTAAAGTATACCCGTTTTGAATTCATTTCATATCAAGATTATTTGATTGGTTATTATATAATTATAAATGAACAACTGGTAGCTTATAAATTTATGAAACTGTCACCATCAAGATAGAATTATTTCTTATAAGAAAATAAATTATTGATTATTATAATTTATAATTATAAAAGAAATCAATTTTTTTTTTTTTTTTTTTTTTTTTTTTTTTTTTTTTTTTTTTTTTTTTTTTTTTTTTTTTCTTTTTTTTTTTTTTT